GGATCGGAAAGGATTTTAGACCTGGGGGAAGTGGCTGTGTTTAAAACGGCGAGTAAAGCAGCCAAGCCAGCGGTGACAAGTGCTGCCGAGGTGGTCGTTAGGGTGCTGATCCAGAGTCCCCAGGACATCACCGTTGGGTCTTGTTTAATCATTTGAGGCACTGAAACGAAACAAACGATTATTTTTATGCGATAACTTCTATAATAGTATCCAGGACTTTTTAGTATCGGCAGTGAAAATCAATGACGCGGCCTCATATTTATATGTCAGTCGTTCAGAACACTTTCTATATTATTAAATTACGTTTAAAGATAGAAAGATAGAATTGAAAAAAAACGTTAGAGGATTTAAATTCGCTGGGAAGAAGAAAAGAATTTAATTGTTAAAGTTAAATAAAAATAAAGTTAATATCCGACGGAAAATAATATCCAACTTAATAAATATTATTAAAATTAATATTATTAGCATATTATTAATTTATAGTGTCTGTCACTATCGCTGAAAAAGTCTCATCAACTTGAACGTTCAGTTTTTCTGTGCAAACCGAAAATCTCACTCTGGATTGGCGTGCAAACTGAAGTTATCGTAGCACGTGTAATGAATAATTAAGCGTGCAGTAAATACTCTTGCTTTAGCTAGTTCAAGTTATATTGCATCGCAAATAACGGACTATTTAATTAGCCGCGGGCGGGATTCTCAGTGAGTCGCCAAGTTAACAACTTGCGTCCACGAAAGGACATCCGAGGAATTCCTCAAGAGCCGTGCCTTTCCTTGTGTTCGATATTTACTCCAAGCATTGAATCTCAGCACACGAAACGGCTATATTTCACATTAATAAAGAACCAGTGTATGCCATTCAATTATAGAACGTTGTCTCAAAACTTATAATATTATTAATACCGTTGAATTTCATTGACATTCTATACATTGTTAAATATATAGAATATTATTAATAATGTTAATAATAGAATATTATAGTAATACTATTATAATAATATATTACATTATTAGCTACTAATACCAATAACACTATGCGTGGTTACTTTTAATGAAAGTTTGGTTGTTTCATAAAATTCAATGTATGTCAAGGATATTGAAATAGTCTTATCTTTGGCCTCGCCTAAAGCGATTGTGATTAATATAAGAAATTAATCAAATCGAAATGTGTAAAGATAATTATTAATTGGATGAAACGCGATTCGGTACTTTCATTGACCGTGAAAGTTTCCAAGGAAAGGAGGATTTTAATATTTCCCGTGGTCAGCATCGGTCACAATCGATGATACGAGGTTGCTGGAGCACGTGAAAGTCGACCACGAGGCACGATCGTGAATTTTTGCACACTCAGAAAACCAGTTTCTGCTCCTATTGTTACAACCGTCGCGGTTGCTCTCTCGCGTACGGAGTATCTTTCCCTCGGGCTGCTTTTCTTTATTCAACCGCTTCTTTTGCGCGTGGGTGTCGCAAAACTTCTCGCCACCGGTGAAATCTCCAACGGGAACGGATTAGAATCGTGTCCGACATTTCCAAACTCTTACAGCTGTCTATCCCACTATTAGGTGCTTTAAAACAGCTGGTGACACCGGACTATTAATCATACAGCGACTATTGAATCAATTCTTTCCTCGCTTCCCTTCCTTTTCTTCCCTCGGGAAATTTTTATTTGATAAATGGAGCTCTTTCGTTTTACGTTGTTTTGTAATCTGTGAAAAGTCATGAAATCAATATAAACTACGTGATTATTAATTAATACTGTAATCACCAATCTCTATCGTACCAATCGCTCCATAGTTAAATATAAATTAAAATGTAAATTACAGTACAACGTGGAATTTAATTTAATAGACAGATTAACTTGATGAAAGTTAATAAGTAAATTATTTAATGCAAGAGTTATATTCAAACATAAGTCAAAATAAAAAAAAAACATCCAAATGAAAACTAATTCCAACTAAGATCCAACTAACAAGAGAGAGAAACCTAAAATTCCTTCAGTTTCAAGAATACTTCAGTATTTCTAAAATTTGTAAAAAATTTCAACAATTAACCAATAAATATAAATATCAATAAAATAAAAGACCTACAAGTCAGAGAACGTAGTATTCATCACTGAGTTCATTACGATTCGCAAGAAAAGAATATAATAATAGAGGTAAATACCATTCGAAAAATAATTTGATCGGCTTTTGTCATTAAACGCGCGACACGTTCAAGCAAAGATCAAAGGGAATATGCTAGTCGCGTGCATCAGCGCGATTAATTCTTTTCTTTCATTATCAATTGAAGTATATCAGCGAAGAGGAATGGGCGAGGGAATTAATAAACGATTACAATCGTATTCCATTGCGACACGCATACCAATATCTGCCCCGTTGTTGGTACAATAAAATAAAGTAGCTATTATTGATCTCACGTTTCAAACTAAATAGTAACTAACATATACACGATGGTTAATCGTGCATGCCACGCAGCTATCGGTACATACATACACGATCGAAACCGGTACGTGTTCCTCGCGTGTTCCTTTGGGACCATTCCGTAGCTCGATGAAAGAGAAATGTTTCTCATGACACGTGCCAACAATCCCATTGTTCTTATCGGGTGAGGCAGCTAGTTCGATCTGCTTTTCACGCGGAATCGATCATTAATGCTAAATCTTCATTTCGATTAGCCAAGTGGTTCGACGATTCATTAATCGAAAATTCAGATTATTCCAGTTACCTGAATTCAGATTACTTAAGTTAGTTCAAGATTCTATTTGAAAATTCAGGGTAGTCAAGTTGCTCGAAGATCCAGATTATTTCATTTATCCTGAAGGTTGTTCGAGTCTGAAGATTCGAATTATTTAAAATTAATTTGACAATTTGAATTATCCGAGTTTTTTTGAAAATTCAGATGGTCCAAGTTGCTTAAGGATCGAGATTGTTCAAGTTACCTAAAGATTCAGATTAGTCTCCTGAAAATTCAGAATACTCGAGTTCTTCAAAGATTCAGATTGTCCGAGTTACTTGCAGATCCGAGTGATCCAAAGTGAAGAAGCTTGAAGAGTCAGATCAATTTCAATTATCATCCGGATGATATCCTCGATATCTTTCATTCAGATTAAGCCAGCTGAATTCGAGATTTATATAGACTTACTTAAAGATTAGATATCTAAATTGCCAATGAAGATAATGGTTCCTACAATAATGAGTGAAAAGAAGTTTTTATAGCTTCAACTTCCACTTTAAACTTCAAACAATATTTTAAATTAAGTAAAATAACAAGTTCATACTTTCAAAGTAATTTCAAGTAATTTCACTTAAATTCAAGCTAATGAAAACGAACTCCAAAAGAAATTCCTCGCACAGACTTCGATGTAAGGATAAATCGAAAGAGTTCATCTAACAATAAGATATCATCGTCCTCAGTCGGAAATTGCCCGCAATGTACAGTTTTAACGTGTCATTCGATACGTAGCTAATCATATGTACCGAATCGGAATACGAGAAGCTGGATAAAGAAAATATTATATCTGTGGAGTGAGAATCGTCCGTAATAAGAATTGCAGTGTGGTTGATACTGTACACTTAGCCGCCACTGGGTCAAACTGCTTGGCCACGAGGGTCCAATTACTGTTCTGCTACATTCTCCAATTTCCATAGATACCGTGCTCTGTAGATTGAACTTGTCGAACATCTTAATGCAAGGCATTTCTAAAACCTTTACACTGCAAGAACTAAAAGAAGATACTGGAAAATTATCTATAATTAAAAATCTTAAACGAAATCGTTTCTTTTTTTAAATCCTAGCATTCCCTGTGATAACAATGATTCACTATATAAAATAGATCGTGATCAAAGCAAGTATCTACAACATTATCAATCCAATTATTAGTCTTCAGTCCTCTAACATCTCAAATTTTCTAACGTGAGATGCAAATGTATTTTTTACATCACAATACAATTTAAGAACATATGCGTAAGCTGTTATTTAATGAGAACCAATCTCGACCGTAAATGGTCAAAATAACGAGGATATATACCGTAGAATCACTTCGCTGGTACAGAGCAGGTTTTTGCGTCTGGTTTCCCGCGAAAATTATGCCACGAAGTGCGTGAGACGAACCGTTATATACACGGTGAGCCCGTAAAATTGTTATTCAAATGTTTCAGCTGGCGGACAGCGTTCCCTGTGGATTACGTGTACACGGCTAAGTCCATCTTCGGGGTAAGATGCCAGGGGGGAACGGATGTTTTCGCTCGAGTGCCCGACCGGCATTGTACCGCCGTTTATGGCACGATAACAGTTTCCTCCGGCAATAACGATCTCAGTATCAGGATGACAAGACACGCAAATGTTATAAATAGTCTTATTACTTGAGTTCAGCCGTGAATCTGGGCGAAATTCATGGGGCAGATAACAAATCAAGGATTTCTTTACATTCCTAGCAATCTTCTTGTGTTCATAGATGTTCTTGGATATGCAAATATGAATATAACACATATGCTATTGTAATGCGCTGTAAAATGTCCGAATTATGTCATTAATTCTTATTTTCCGTTTCTTATTAACTGTCTCAAATTTTATGTAAGAAATTTGTTTGTATACTCTTGAAAAATAAATATTTTGTAGAGAAGATTATTCATTGATCTTATTAAACTTTTTGAATCTGCTGCTGAACATCTTTTCAAACTAGATCCTTTTTCTGATGAATTAACATAATATGTATGTTGTTTGGGTCATATAAAATTCATCACAATTCACCAAGTTATTAACATTTGTAACACTTAAAAAGAATCCAATTACTGAAAAGAGTCTAGAGAATATTGTAATAATAATAAAGTATTGTAAAATTGCAAAAATGATTATAAAGAGTAAACAAAATGCTCAAAAAAATCATAGTCACAGAATCCACATTAGAGCAATCAAAGTGGTTAAAATGACTAATTATAATAAAAATAAAAATAAATAATAATATATAATAAAATATAATATAATATAATATAAAAATAAATAATAATATATAATAAAAATAAATAAATAAAATTTCTAATTTTTTCACAGAAATTTTAAATCTGCATTTTTGGAAAATGATTCTTCGTAAAATATGCAGTCCTTATTTAACAACAAATCCTTTTCGTATTCCTTGTATTTTCAAGTTTCACCCTTTGATAATTCCAATGATCTAATCATCAATTATTGCCAGTACAATTCCCTCCACGATTCAGATCAAAAACAATCAAAACGTACATGAAACAAATACGAGCACCATTTCTCAATAGAGTGAACTCGATTAATACGACTATGTAACTATTAACGAATCGAGACCTCGACAATTGAGCAGCACGATGAACGAAACTGATTCGGGCACGCTGATTACCAAATAGCAAATTTATGAGAGGTACAGGCGCAATTCTGCCGCCACCGTTCACCATCTCCCATAGAAATCACATGCAGGGTACAGTTATGCCGAATGAGATTCTCCGGTTTGGCCAACTATCCACGAGAATTTATGACTTCAGTATCACATTCGGTACATACGAAGTACCAGAGAATCTTCCTCCGTGCGGTTCTCCGCAACAATAACTCGTTTACTGATATTATTTCAGGCTATACACATAGGTCAAGCTGGGAAAATTCAAATTTGATGTACTCTTTAGAAAATGAACCGTTCACAGCGAACGATAATACGTACCATGTACCTACAACGACAGTAATTATAGTTAATGTAATTTGAAAGTGAAATTTCTGAATTAATGGAAGAATATCATAAGAGGAATATGAATACCTTTTTGGATTTATAAATGTTAATATACATTTCTTTTGGTATTTCTTTTGAAAAATCTCTATAACATTGTTATACACATACATTTTAAGTGAATATGTTATACACATATTTCATTGCTTCATTAGCAATGTATTTCATCAATCACCATTACACGAATGTCAAATAATTTGTTTACAATTATTAGCTCAGAGATATTAATTATTAATTGATATGGATAGATGCAATTAATTAACTCTCAAATAAGATGACTATGGCTTAACTTATACATAATTTATGTTAGATTACTGAAATTTAGGATATCTGACTTTATTTTGTGTTTCACATCTTTCGTAATAGAGATCAGTAATAAGATTCAATTAAATGAGAAATTTTAAATAGTCTAATGATCTAGTCTTAAATTATGGTTTTCAATGACTCAATAATATTAGTCGAGAATTCTACTGCAAATGAAATTCTGGTTATATATAAAGGATTAAAAATGTAAAAAAAAAA